AAAAAAAAAGCTTTCAACTATGTGGGTCATGACAATCTATGGATAACATTGCAAAGAATGGGTATTCCAGGACACTTACTTGTGTTTATGAGGAACCTGTACGTAGACCAAGAGCCTGTGATTCAACAAGAACAAAGGGACACTGGTTTAAATCAGGAAAGATGTACACCAGGGTTGTATTGTTTTAACATACCTATCCAATCTCTAAACTGAGCAAATAGTTGAAGAGGCTGTATTATATGAAGAATACTCATTAACAGCCTACAATATGCAGATGATACAACCTTGTTTACTGAAATTGAAGAGGACTTAAAATACTTGCTGATGAAGATCAAAGACCAGTATGGGTTGTACCTCAAGGTAAAGAAAACGGAATTCCTCACCATTAGGACAATAAATAACATCATGATAAATGGAGAAAATATTGAAATTGTCAAAGACTTCATTTTGCTTATATCCACTATCAACACTCATGGAAGCAGCAGTCTAGAAATCAGATGACGTATTGTATTAGACAAGTCTGTTGCACAAGACCTCTTTATGTCTTCTAGAGCAAAGATGTCACTTTGAGGATTAAGGTTTGCCTGACCCAAGCCATGGTATTTTCAATAGCTTCATATGTGAAAGTTGGACAGTGAATAAGGAAGACCGTATAGAAGAATTGATATAATTGAATTAATGATGTTGGAGGAAAATATTAAAAGTACCATGGACTGCCAGAAGAACAAACCACTCTGTATTGGAAGAAGTATAGCCAGAATGTTCATTAGAAGCCAGGATGTCCAGACTTCGTCTCTCATACTTCCTATATATTATTAGGAGGGGCCAGTCCCTGGAGAAGGATGTCGTGTTTGGTAAAGTGGAGAGTCAGCAAAAAAAGAGGAAGACCACCCCCTTCTCCCCACAGGGGATGAACTGGTACGGTGGCAGCAGTGAGCTCAATCATAACAAAGATTGTGAGGTTGGCCCAGGACCGGGCACTATTGCATTCTGCTGTGCAGAGGCTCGTCATGAGTCAGAAGTGACTTGATGGCGCCTAAAATCCTCACAACAGTATTTGTGCTCTTACCCTCATAACGGGTCATGCTTGACTCCTGGGGGAATGGAGAGTCCCAGGAGGCCAATGACACTAACAATTGCCTCACTTTTTCATTTTTGTTGTTATTTTAATTATGGGAAATATATGCGTAACAAAGCCTTTGCCATTTCAAAAGTCTCCGCTTGTATAGTTTAGAGACGTCAATTATGTTCACCATGCTGTTCAACCATTTCCTTTATCCGTTCACAAATTATACAGAAACTCAGTGTCCCTTAAACACTGAGTCCTCATTTCTTCCTCCTTTCTGCCCTGGTAACTACTAATCAACTGTGGTCTCTATGCACTTAACCTCTCCTGGATATTTCATGTAAGTGGGATCATACAGTATTTGTCCTTTTGTGACTGACTTGTTTCACTCAGCATGTTTTCAGGATTTATACATACAGCATTTATCAGAATTTCATTTCTCTTTCTTTAGTTTTAAACACTTTGAGAATGCACTTGTGGTAAAATGGGAGTGATGAGAATTGAAATGAGATGTCTTGGTGAGTTGGATAAGATTGTAAGAGAGAAAGGGAGAGAGGGGATGCCAGGTACAAAAGAAACTTGGTTTTAAGAATTGGTGGTGGTTGTTAAGTGCTTTTGAGTAGGTTCCGACTCAGTGATCCTGTGTAGTGTTTCTGAGGAGCAGCTGGTGAGCTTAAACCACCGACCTTGTGGTCCTAGAATCTATTCAGAAACTGAGAATTCAAGCAAGGAGAGAACTGAGAAATTGAGCTCCCTAAATAAATGAGAAGCAGGAAATGGAAGGCCAAGAGCAAAAAAAAAGAAAAAACAACAAAAACAGA